GGTCTTCCCGGGGCGGGCCACGGGGTCGCCTTGGCTAGGACCTGGGGATGAGCGGTTCCGCCTGCGCGCATGCGCGCTGACTCTCTGGGTCCTCCCAAAAGTCGGGCGGTGAGGGAGAGGAGAGCCAGGCTGTGGTTCGGGGGCGGGGGCGGTGGCGGGGGGGGGGGGTGTATTGCGCCCGGGGGAGATTCAGGGCCCGAAGGTGGGCAGGTGAAGTCGCCTAGGTTGCCAGTGGGAGCTGGCCTGTGTGGGGGCGGGGAGGTCAGAGGGAAATTGGGTTTGCAGGGCTGGGGCGGGAGGAGTTCGTGGGGCGTTAGAGGCTTGTGGACTGAATTTCCGGGCGCGCTGCGTGTTCCCCCCCAGGCGGTGTCCTGCTGGCCGCTGCATTCCCGCCTCCCGCCTGCTGCATTCCAGCCTCCCGCCTGCACGTGTGCACCCAGGGGCCCGTCGCTGTCGGGTGTCCACGGAGCGGAGGGCGGGAAGGGCGGAGCGGAGGGCGGGAAGGGCGCGGAGCCACTGCCGGGGTGTCCTGGCAGAACAGTGCATTTGGGCGTATGTGTTGGTTAGTTTTCCTCCGTCTTCAGTGTTTTGGAAGATGAAATTTCTTTGTGTTTGCTTCTGTCATGGTCTCTCTGATGATTTCTTTTCCGTGTCCCTGAGTGCTTGAGTATCTTGTGCTCCTGAATGTAGCTAATCCTTGTGTTCCGATCTGGTCTCCTGTCTTCAGTGTGCACTTCTCCTGAGTGAGTCAGTCACCTGTGTTTTGCCATTTCTGCCAGTTACACTTGAGCGTGGGCCTCTGCCCAGTCCTACTACCACAGGCTCGGCTCCCACCTGACTGCGCCTGTAGTCATCCCGATGGCAGGTGCCGCTCATGCAACGTGCAAACCTCGTCCTGTGTTGTGCCCTCCCGTGTGGAATTAGATCCTTCTCAGCCCAGGTCTCCCACCAGCAGAAAGGGATTTCTCTATTCCAGAGTGTAGTCTCACCCAATGCAAGTTTCTCTTCAATATTACCTGATACCTTAATGGTTGCTAACAACAGCACCACTGTGTGTGTGTGTGTGTGTATGTGTGTGTGTGTTTGTGTGTGTGTGTGTTTCAGTTCACATTACAGTTCTCATTCTTGGCCAAACCTGATGGATGCAATTTCTCAGTGATGAGGCTGCTCCCTTTTCTGCCTCCCACTGGCCAGTGTGTGCTGACACCTCAGAGTTCAGGGGGAGAAAGTACTCTGGGGGGTCAGTAAATGTAGTTTTTAATAAGGAGCTTCACATATCTGTCATTGAGTCTGGAATACAGTAGGTGTGTGCATTAGTCATACATATGATTCTTGCTGAAGTTATCGTTAATGGTAGATTTTCTTTTTAATTTTGATAGAATATTTATAGAATATTGTTAGAAAGAATATATTTTACAACCTAATTTTCGCAGCTCTCTTGTCACCATGCAAGTGTTTCATTTTATAAACCTTTGCACTGTGGGGAGCAGCAGTGGCTGCTCTTCTGCCCATCGTGACTGTTACTTCCTTTCTCTCCTTTTCCTACTAAACCTGGCCCTCTATTTATTCATTCATTCATTTATTCATTCATTCATTTTTTAAAAGATATACTTATTGTTGCATACCAAAACTGGAGTACGGGCCAGAGGTGTGCGGGGGGGCGGGCAGGATTCGCCACCAGAGACAGACTGGGGAACAGAACAGGCAGACTGACTGAAATACATTGACGAGAGTTGCAGTGGGCGAGTCAGGGGAGGTCTGCCGCACATGTGGGTAGCACTCTGGCCGGGGATTGAACTCGTGCTGCAGTGGCTGTGGACAGCTCCACTGGTTGTGTCTTAACCTTTAGTCACCAGGAAAGCCCCTGACCCTTCATTTAAATGTAAAATAAAAAATCTCCTTTCGCTGTTTTTGCATGTGGTGTTCTTTGGCATTTTGTATCTGACAGTGTTATACAGCCATCACTACCTTCCAGATTTTTTCATTTCCCAGTAATAAAATACTGCACTCATGAAACTCTCGCTCCCAACTGCCCTGTCCCTCAGCCCCTGTGTCCACCATTTACTTTCTGTTCTTAAGAGTTTGACGACTCAGACCTGTATGAATGGAGTCTTGTTACACCTTATTTTCTTGGTGAATCTCTTATTTTATTGCATTGTTAACTGTTTTGTCATTTCATAGGTCTCGTACAGGAGTGCCTTCATATTGTAGTGTGTGTCGTTGTTTAGTTCCATTGTGACACCCATTAATAATCTCTTATGTGTATCTGCCAGTCTTATTTACCCATTAATCCATCACCTGGGGCTTGGGTTGATTTTGCTTTGGGCTGTAATGACTGGTGGTGCCGTGACCGTAGGTGAGCAGACGTCTCTGCCCGTCCCTGCTATCCCTGCTATTGATGAACACCCCGGGGTTGGGGTGGGTCCTCCTGTCATTCTGAGCTCCCTTTTCCCAAGAATCACCTTCCTGTCTTCCTTCCTGGCTGCATCATTTATGTTTGCCCCAGCAGTGCGCAAGGGAGCCAGGTCCCAATTTTTGCCAATACTTGTTCTTTTCTTTCTTTTCAAATCATTGCGATCCCAGCGGATGTAAAATCTGATCTCTTGTACTTCTCGTTCATTTTTCCTTCGTGACTGGTCGCATTGAGCACATTCATGTGTTAGGACCCGCTTGGGTGTGTGATTTGCAGAGCTGTGTGTTCCAGTCCTTTCCTCATGGCTGCGCATTTCCATTTTGAACAGGGTCGAAAGCGCGAGGGGATTGTATTGTCCCATTTCGTCATACGGTGCTTTTATGGCATCCTGAGCCCACTCCTGCTGGGAGGTCCCGTGAGTTTCTGTGCACAGACATGAGCCATCCACCTTCTCTCTGCTGTTGTTTCATTTCTCGTATTAGCGTTTTCATCAATGAGCCTATAAAGAAGAATGCATTTTTGTTTTCCTAGAACTGGGGTGTGCCGGGTTACCTTGTGAGAGTTGCTGTCAGTGCAGCAGGCTCATCGTGTCCTGGATGCTGTTGTGTCTTTGCATTTGTTTACTTCATTGTTTAACCCTCTGGATTTATTTATCCCAGGGAGTCTCTGCCCTTGCTTCCGCTACATGCATAGCTTACTGTTGTCATTTCCCTGGCAGCATACAGGAGCTCCTGTGTGTGTGAACACGCGTGTGTGTTATACTCACAGTCTGCTCACTGGGTTTTCCTTTCCAGAGTTGCTTTACTGTGGCTTTCATTAGTTTTCCAAGAATGAGTTATCGGGCCTCCCCTGGTGGCTCAGTGGTTGAGTGCTGGTTTGCAAGGCTGCACAGAGCCTCTTCAGCACCAGTTCGATGCCTGGACACCGGCGAGGGTCCCACCAAAAAAAAAAAAGAGAGAGAATGAATTATTACTTGCTATGACCATTTTTACGCATGTTGTCTTTCTGTTGTTGCTGTTGTTGTGTAGCATCACCCGAACCCATCGTGAATAAGGGGACACTGAGCATCTTTGTTAGTCCTTCTCTCACTGGGAATGTTGATGTCGCCTGTGGCTGTGTCAAGGACTTGTTTTGTGTTGAGGAAAAATCCTCTTAATCCTTTTTTAGTTATTACAAATAGAAATTTATTTTTATGGGGTCCTAATGAATATGTGTGTGGAGGTACGCAAGATTTTCTACACAGGAAATGAAATGATGAAATCAATTTACAGATTTCCTAAGAGGTTTGTTTTCTTATACCTAGCGTCATGTTTTCCAAAAGTCTTTCATTGCTATGATTTATTCTTTTTCTTTCTCCAACAGAAATATTAGTCTCTTCTAGTTGTTTTTCCTCTTCTTTCAATACCTTTTGTTCTGGTCACCGTGTTCCGCCCTATGGTGATGAAAACTATTAATAATATCCTGAGAATTCCCAAATTCTTTTTTTTTTCTTTTAGATTTATTTATTTTATTTTTGCACATAGTGCTCAGGTGTAGGCCACATGTGCAGGGGGTGAGAGGATTCATCAGAGTCAGCATCAGGAGTAGAACAGGCAGACTGACTGAAATACACTGCTGAGGGGAGCAGCAGAGAGACAGGAGAGATCTGCTGCGCCTTCTGGGTAGATCCCTTGTTGGGACTCGAATTCTTGTTGCAATGGCTGCCGACAGCTTCATAGTGCTGAGACTTAAACCCTTGTGCCACCAGGGAGGCCCTGATTCCCACATTTCTGTTCTCAGCTTAGAGTTCCTGATCCATCACACACATGTCCAGTTGCGTGTGGAATTCCAGTGTCTTCCAGCCCATCATGCGGACAGCATATTAGGAAAACATTCCTCGTACCTCAGCCACCGAGTTATTGCCGAGTTCTCCTCCCCTTTGTCCTTCCGTTTGAGAAGTGATGACCTGTTCTGTCTTCTCTGACTCTGTCAGCTGAACATCTTTTCTTAAAATTTTATTTTATATATAATTCGGATCATTTTTTATTTTGCACACTGTATGCATTTTCATCTTGGTTATAGTCACTGACAATTCCTACCCCCCTTATTTTAACCCTAATCGCTCCTCCCTCCACCCTCCAAAACCCCCTGTTTGAGAAACTCCATCTCTAGTTTATAGTTGCTTGTAGTTGAACATCTCTTACCTGTGCTTTTTCTCCCTTCATTGTTTGAACATTCTGGTTTCGGGTTCAGTTTTTGTTTACTGTGAGTTGGAGATCCCAGGGTTTGAGGTCACAGGAGTAAAATATTGGCACAAACTTGTACATGCTTTTCATTTGTTATGAAGCTCCTTTTGCACATGCTTCCAGGTATGTGTCTGTTACACCTGCCAACCAGGTTATCAGCTCCTGAAGGAGCAAATTTTATTCATCCTTTTTTTCTTAGAATCATACACACTTTCAAATTCATAAGGTAAGCTGTAGTTCTGCTTTAAGGACTGAATGGGTGAATGTAGAGGCGAGGCTCTTTCAACTGTGAATTTTATACATCCTCTACAGTACCAAAGACCCACAAAATAAGATGTTTGCACTTGCTCTGTCTGACCCAGGCTGCCGGCCCGGAGATGAGAAATATTCCCTCAGAAGGGACTGTGTCATTTGAAGACGTGGTTGTGAACTTCACCTGGGAGGAGTGGCAGTGCCTGAGTGAAGCTCAGAGGACCCTGTACTGGGATGTGATGCTGGAGACCCGACGTCACCTGGTGTCCCTAGGTGAGGAAGCGCCAGTCTAACACTCTAGTGCAGTGCTGTCTTCTGCACCGATAAGTGTCCACTTGCTTATGAAACTGAGTGCTGGTGAGGTTGAACATGGCAGGCAGTGTACATTGTGGGTGTTTCGGTTTTTGTTTTTTGTTTTTTTTTTTAGGAAAGATTCAGATTGGCCTCTTTTGCACAGCTCTTCACACTGCATTTGTTAGTTTTCAAAGACTGAAGTTGAACTTGATCGAAGGCGAACACTATTTCTCGTCACAGGGCATTGTGTTAACGATCCTGAGGAGAGGATGTGGTCGGAGCAGGGAGTACAGCCGTGGACTGTGGACTATCCCCCAAACCAGGACCTCTCAGGTCAGTCAGTGCTTGCCAGGCCGGGAGGCTGAGAGGAGGCTGGGAGTGTGGCCAGTGATATTGGCCACACTGAGGTGCTTTCCCATTGTGCAACCTTGGACAGTATGTCTGCATATATCAAACTGATTCTTTTTTCTTTTCTTTTTTTTTTTTTTTTTAAAAATTTATTTATTTATACAAGCATGGGGTACAGTCAGTCAGAAGCGCGGGAGGGCAAGAGAACTCACCAGAGCCACAGTGGGGAGCAGAGCAGGCAGAAGGACCGAAGTGCACTGCTGAGGGGAGCATGGGGTGGCAGGAGAGGTCTGCGCGTCATGCGGGACCCTGCACCGGTGGCTAGGGAGCAGCCAGGGATTGAACCGGTGCTGCAGAGGCTGCGGGCAGATCGCAACCCAGCGCTCAACCACTGCGCCACTGGGGGGGCCCTCAAACTGATTCTTTATTCAGTTCCCAAATATTGCTCTCTCGTGTATTTCCTCCTGCTCTTTTAATGGTGGTTGTCTATGTTCTTAACCAGTCTGTAGTCCCTGATACTGTGGGGATTATTCTGTATTAATCACGTTTCTGTATTCTCTCTCTTAGTGTATTCTCACAGACTGTTTTCTTTAGGTACCTTTTCAGGAATATTTTTATTTCTGTGTGTTCATGGGAAGTTTAGCCAGTGGGAAATTTTCTATGAGAGGGGAGAGCAACAGTACTCACAGAAATGATCTTTGCTTTCTGAAGTTATACACTCTGTGAGGAAAGAATATATAATAAATACATTTATTGATAGAGAGGTAAAGCCACAGAGGATGTTTGACCAGCATGAGTGAAACAAAGTGGAGGATGTTGTTTTTGCTTGTGTGCTCCATACGCATCATTACAGAGATTAATTCTTCTCTTTCAGAGCTCAGGTGAGGTGAATGGCTTGCACTGACATGTCATATCTATAGTTCCCTCTGCAGTCTGGGCTAGAGGCTGTGTATTGCTATTGGAGATGTCACTTTGCAGGTGACTAACTCAAAAAGGATAGAGGGGCATTGACTGGAGAGTTATTTAGAACATGAGTAGTGTTTCAGGGGCAAGCCTTGTGACCGCCCACATAGTAAATGGTGAGGCTGAGGAGGACCCAGAAATTGTTCATCATTGGAAGGGATGTTGTGTGACATGGGAGGGGGAACTTGAGGTGGTGGTTTCTAAAGCCATGGCACCAAGAGTTTGAGGTTGGGGGGCTCATACCTTGGGGAGCAGTGTGACCTGTGCAATTCCACCTTGTCGTGGGCATTGTTGGGAGGAAAGTAAAGGAATCAACGACAGTGTGATGTAGCTGAGAGTCACTCACGACATAGAAACTGGAGTTACTGTGAACAAAGTAGAAATGCAGGTTCCAAGCACTGCGGTGAGAATACCATGGTGTTGCTCTCAAAAGCATGTGGGAAAAGCCTTTAACTCTGATAGCCACAGGCTGGATGCAGAACTTTTTTCCTATCACTCAGCAGGGAACATGGGACACAATGATGAGGTGGAGTTTGCTGCATGTGTTAGGATTCTGAGCCTTATGTGATATGATATTTCAATAAGAACTGACAGGTCTCTTCCGTGGAGGGAAGCGCATGCTTCTGAGAACCTCTGCAGGTGGTGTGGCCAGGGCCGGGGTGGAAAGAAAAACTAAGAAATGGAGAAGCGGGGTCCTTGTGACTCAGCAGACCTCTTGCTTAAAGTGCCTGGGCAATGACTGGGTCTCTCCATCCACAGGTTTCTGGGAAAGCCATGGCCTCTGCAGGGCTTGTTTATTCTGAAAGTACCCACAAGAGCTGCACAGGGTCAGTCTAACAAAGAAAGTATGTAGGATCTATGTTGGGTGAAATGCTTCTGGTTGAAATCGACAATTCTAGTTAAAGGACTGTTTTTACCAAATATTTATGGTTTTATAAAACCATGGTGAAATTAGTTTTACTGCTTTGTTATCCTGGTTTGGCATTAGAAAATCTGTTAATTGGGGCCTCCCTGGAGGCCTAGGGATTAAGTCTCTTAGCTCTCACTATTATGGCCTGAGTTTGATCTACAGTGAAGGAGCTCACCCACTTTGTCACAGCAGACCTCTCCTGTCTCACCCGCTGCTCCCCTCAGCAGTGTATTTCAGTCAGTCCGCCTGTTCTGTTCCACACACTGTCTCCACGCTCCCCTACAACACCCCCACTCCTGCACCTCTGGCCTATACCCCAGATCTTCTATGCTAAAATACAAAATACCAAGAAATCTATTCTCCACATAATTTGCTACGGGTAAAAAGCATGAATCAGAGAATCAATACCTGTAAATTGTGTTGTAATAGGAGCTTTTGTGCCGCTTAGTAGTATTTACTCAAAATGCTTCCTTTTTAGAGACATGGTCATTTTTATCTCACTTTAGATGTCCATACTGTGGATCACCTGACTCACAACAGCCCTGCAAATCAGGGCAGACATGTGTGGCAAGTTCTTACCGCCAGCACCAAAATACCATCCAACGAGAGAACTGACTTATGGGAAAAAAGCAATTTGGACTCAATTCTTTTTGTGAACCATAGTATCAAAAATGGAAACAATTCAGCAATGATGCCTGAGAACTTCACTATACATAGGACCATGATGATCCCTGGTGAGCCTCATGAAGAGCATGCTGGAGAGAACGAGGAGGTCTTTAGTAGAATGAGGGAACCCATCAAGTATCCTGAGCACCTTAATCACCAGGTGATTCAGAACTTTCAACAGCCTTTTGAATTTCGTGAACAAGGAAAAGTCTTGAGCGAAGAAACAATATTTTCACCTAGAGGAGCCTTTCCGGAAGGGGCTGCCCGTAAATGCAATGAGTGCAGGGACACCAGTGATGAGGCACCTTTCGATGTCCGAGACAGAACCCAAGGAGGACAGACTCTCTGCAGTTGTAATGAAAAGGGGAGAGCTGCGGAGATGACTCCAGTGCATTTGAATCTTCCTAGGTATGTTGAACACGAGCAGCAGGAATGTTATGAAAGTGGGGCCAGTCTCAGCAACACATTTCACACCTATCCGCATGAGAGTACCCAGTTAGGACAGAATAATTTTGGATATAAGAGATATGGTGAAGTGGCCTCTAAAACCTCTGTTCTGACTGAACATCAGAAATCACAAGCAGACGATCAACCTGATGAGTGTGGGGGCACCTCTGAGATTTCCTTACAGAGGGGATACCAGAGAAATCTCACTGCAGTGAAGTTGTTTGGCTCTAACGATCATGTGAAAACTTTCTCATGCAAGACTGCCCTCACTGTACATCCCCAATCTCAAACGGGAGTGAAGCGCTACCCGTGTCTGGTATGTAAGAAAACTTTCAGGCACAAATCTGCTTTTAGTGTCCATCAGAAAACTCATACAAGGGAGAAACCCTATGAATGTCAGGCGTGCAGGAAAGTGTTCTCCTGTAAGTCAGTTCTTCTTCTACATGAGAGGACTCACACTGGAGAGAAACCCTATGAATGTGAAGGGTGTGGAAAATCTTTTTCCAGTAAGTCTTACCTCACTGTGCATCAGCGAATTCACAGTGGAGAGAAACCTTTTGAATGTCAAGAGTGTAAGATGACTTTCTCCTGGAAATCATCCCTCAGTCTCCATCAGAGAAGTCACACTGGAGAGAAACCCTATGAATGTGAAGGGTGTGGGAAAGCTTTTTCCAGTAAGTATTTCCTCAGTGAGCATCAGAGAATTCACACTGGAGAGAAGCCTTATGAATGTCAAGAGTGTGGGAAGACTTTCCGCCAGAAATCATCCCTCAGGAAACATGAGAGAAGTCACACTGGAGAGAAGCCTTATGAATGTCAAGAGTGCAGGAAGACTTTCCACCAGAAATCATCCCTCACTGAACATCAGAGAGTTCACACTGGTGAGAAACACTATTATTGCGATGGGTGTGGGAAAGCTTTTTCTACTAAGGCACACCTCATTAGACATAAGAGAAGTCACACTGGAGAGAAACCCTATGATTGCAAAGAGTGTGGGAAAGCTTTTCCCAGTAAGTATTATCTCAGTGAGCATCAGAAAATTCACAGTGGAGAGAAGCGTTATGAATGTCAAGAGTGTAGGAAGACTTTCCAGTGGAAATCATCCCTCAGTCACCATCAGAGAAGTCACACTGGAGAGAAACCCTATTATTGTGAAAATTGTGGGAAAACTTTTTCTAGTAAGTCACACCTCATTACTCATCAGAGAATTCACACTGGAGAGAAACCATATGAATGTGAAGGGTGTGGGAAAGCTTTTTCCAGTAAGTCATCCCTCTGTCACCATCAGAGAATTCACACTGGAGAGAAACTGTATAAATGTGAAGTGTGTGGGAAAGCTTTATCCAGTAAGTCTTACCTCAGTGAGCATCAGAGAATTCACACTGGAGAGAAGCCTTTTGAATGTCAAGAGTGTAGGAAGACTTTCCACTGGAAAATATCCCTCAGTATCCATCAGAGAAGTCACACTGGAGAGAAGCCTTATGAATGTGAAGAGTGTAGGATGACTTTCCAGTGGAAATCATCCCTCAGTAACCATCAAAGAATTCACACTGGAGAGAAGCCTTATGAGTGTCAAGTGTGCAGGAAGACTTTCCACCTGAAATCATTACTCACTGAACATCAGAGACTTCACATTGGTGAGAAACGCTATGATTGCAAAGAGTGTGGGAAAGCTTTTTCTGCTAAGGCACACCTCATTAGACATCAGAGAAGTCACACTGGAGAGAAACCCTATGATTGTGAAGAGTGTGGGAAAGCTTTTTCCAGTAAGTCATCCCTCAGTCACCATCAGAGAAGTCACACTGGAGAGAAACCCTACGAATGTGAAGTGTGTGGGAAAGCTTTTTCCAGTAAGACTTACCTCAGTTACCATCAGAGAATTCACACTGGAGAGAAGCCTTATGAATGTCAAGAGTGTGGGAAGATTTTCCATTGGAAATCATCCCTCAGGAAACATAAGAGAAGTCACACTGGAGAGAAGCCTTATGAATGTCAAGAGTGCAGGAAGACTTTCCACCGGAAATCATCCCTCACTGAACATCAGAGACGTCACACTAGTGAGAAACGCTTTGATTGCGAAGGGTGTGGGAAAGCTTTTTCTACTAAGTCACACCTAATTAGACATGAGAAGTCACACTGGAGAGAAACCCTATGATTGTGAAGAGTGTGGGAAAGCTTTTTCTAGTAAGCCACACCTCATTACGCATCAGAGAATTCATACTGGAGAGAAAACCTTTGAGTGTCATGAGTGTGGGAAAACTTTCCGCCAGAAATTATCTCTCAGTAAACATCAGAGAAATCACACTGGAGAGAAGTCTTATGAGTGTCAAGAGTGTGGGAAAACTTTTTCCAGTAAGCACTCTCTCACTGGACATCAGAGAAGTCACTGGAGAAAGTCCCTGTGATTGTTAAGAATGTGGGAAAACTTTTCAGGAAGCCAGCCCTCACTAGGCATGACAGAATCCACACTGGATGGAAATGCTATGAATGTCAAGAGTGGACAGGCAGGCCTCCCCTGGTGGCGCAGGTGGTTGAGCGCAGCGCTGTGAAGCTGTCTGTGGCCTTTGCGGTGCGAGTTTGATTCCCTGGCCGGCCAGGAGCAGCCCCATGGTGCGGCAGATCTCTCCTGTCTCGCCCGCTGCGTGTATTTCAGCTGTGTGTTTCGGTCAGTCTGCCTGTTCTGTTCCCCGTCTGTCTCTGGTGCAGCCTCTCACCCTCCCAGACATCTGGCCTGTACCCCGGTTCTTGTATGCTTGAATAAATAAAAATCATTTAAAAAATATTCAAACTTGGGAGCTCAACCACATCATTCAGTTGAGAGCAATGGGAACTGACATACAGTTTCACTCCTAATTGCGTGGAGTTTCCTGGTTCACTCTTCTCCCAAGTTCATGCAGTGATGATGTCGCTGTTCCTGTTGCTGTTGCTTCTAGTGTACTCTTAAGTTCCTGGGCGATGCCATTCATGTCCACAGTAGCTGTCTGTCTACAGGGCACACTGCATGTTGCGTGGGTAAGTGATCTCTCTGGGTTTTCTAACTTAGTCATCAAGTTCTGTCCAGTACTCTAAGCCTCATGGTGCCCCCCGATGCTGGAATTGCTCACCTCCAAAATGTCCTCCTCTAGAAGGAAAAGTTGAACTGTGTGCTATCGGCTGTAGGTTGAGGTCTGCAGCTGTCTTTACCTACCGTTAATGATGAAGATTTTTCGGGGCCTCCCTGGTGGCCTCGGGGTTAAGTCTCAGCGCTATGGCCTGCTCTGGGGAGGGTTTCAGCCCCAGCTAGGGAGCCGCCCCACATATGGCCGCAGCAGGCCTCTCCTGTGTCACCCGCTGCTCCCGTTACCCAGGTATTTCAGTGGTTCTGCCTGTTTGTCTCCACACTTAGTATCTGGTGAATCCTCTCACCCCGAACCTCTGGTCTACACACCAGTTCTACAAAATAAGGGAATTTTTTTGGAAGATTATTGCTGCATACAGGAACTGGGATGCAAGCCAGAGGTGTGAGGGGGTGAGAGGATTCTCCACAGTGAGATTGGGGAGCACAACAGGCGGATCTACTGAAATCCACTGCTGAGGGGCCCAGTGGGGAGACAGGAGAGGTCTACTGTGCCATGTGGGTCACCTCCCTGGCCAGAGATCGAACTCGTGTGTGCAGTACTGAGAACAGGTTTATAGTGCTGAGTCTTCACCCCTGCGCCACCAGTGGCCCCAGAATTTTTTTTTTTTATAGAGGCATGTTTTATTTGTTTGTTTGTTTGTTTTGTTTATACATGCACTGGGTACAGTCAGAAGTGCAGGAGGGTGAGAGAATTCACCAGAGCCAGAGCAGAGAGCGGAGCAGGCAGAAGGACCTAAGTACACTGCTGAGCGGAGCAGCGGGCGGCAGGAGAGGTCTTCGCGCCATGTGGGACCCTCCTCCGGTGGCCGAGGAGCAGCCAGGGATCGAACTGGCGCCGCAGAAGCTGTGGGCAGCTTCGCAACCCAGCGCTCAACTGCTGCGCCACTGGGGAGGCCCCCCCAAAATTTTTTTTCAAAGGAAAGGATTCTTGCCTTTTAATAAAATTTTTATTATTGTTCATCTTTGTGCAATATTGGATTTCTCCCCTTCTGTATAATTCTTGCAAATGTCCTGTCCGCACCGCCCCTGTGACCCGTCACCCCAGGCCCTGGTGCTCCTCCTCCCCTCCTGGCCCCTCTTCTACTATGTCCCCTGCACGTGTCTCAGCTCTGTCATCTGCCTGCCAGTTTTGTCTTTTTCCCTGACCCTTTCTTGTGTTTCCCTGTATTCCTCCTGGAGCTGATTGATGTAATCCAGGTCTTTTTCCTTCACTCTTTGTTCAGAACATAGTCCCTTCCGCCGTTGCTGGCCGTGTCCTGAATGTGGTGTTTGTCTTAGTCAGTTCATACCTTGGGGTGAGTGGTCAGTGTGGAATGTGGTGGCCGAGGAAGTCCTTGATGTCACTCTCGCACCCACTCCCCCTTCAGGGGTCCCGAACACCTTCTGGTGTATTTCTTTGGCGCCGTGGTGATGCTGAGTGGAGAGAGACCCCAAATAACCAAAGCTTTCCTGATTAAAAGTGGGGGGAAATGAAGGAGTCACACTTCTGACCTCAAACTAAAGGTAAGGCGCCTCCCTGGTGGCCCAGGGGTTAAACACAGTGCTCTCCAACTACTGCAGCCACCGTGTACAAGTTGGATCCCCAGCAGGCCGGGAGCTGACTGACATGGCGTGGCTGACCTCTCCTGACTGGCCTGCTGCGCCCCTCAGCAGTGTATTTTGTCAGTCGGCCTGTTCTGTTCCCTGCTCTGTCTCTGGTGAATCCTCTCAACCCCGGCATCTCTGGCCTGTACCCCAGCTCTTGTGTGCATAAATAAACAAATCTTAAATATTTGTTAAACGAGCATTTTGGAAAGCCAAATAATTGAGCTAGAGTTACTTTATCAAATTCCCAGTTATAAATTAACCTGACTTGCGATATCATCATTTTGAAGAACACCAATAAATATGTGTAGATTCATGAAACAAATCTGTAAAAACGTGGATGTGTGCAAGATGATGTGGGCCATCCCAAGAGACAGAAAATACACCGAGACAGGCCAGGAGGAGATGCGCCCCTTCTCACGAGCAGGGATGGGCGTCAAGTCCTCTCGGCCGGGAGAGGTGGCGTTTCCAGCTTGTGTCCTGAGACTCTCGTGGGCTTGGCTGTGGGACCGACATGTGGCTAAGGTGAGGTGATTGTGGCCTCTCATGCCGTCCTTAGGAAAGAGCTGGTGGGTGCCGTCCTCCTGCGGAGAACTGGGGTGGAGGATTCGACGCTGTTCGGGGTGCTGTCTTGTGACTTTTCGCACCCTGCTCGCCGGCCTTTCGGGGTGAGCTGAGAAAAAGTGTGGAGCACACGTGAGGTCTGTGATGATGTCCCCAGCGCTAGCCGCGGTCCCTGCTCAGTAACCCGGGAAACTTTTCCCTCTGAGGTGAGCCCTGTGCCGGCTACGGCGGCTCCCGACCCTCCAGGTACACTGTCCGGGGCAGCCCGGGCGGCCGCCTCCCTGGGCCTGAGTCCCGAACTTACAGGGGGAGGTTCCTGTGGCTGGGGATTGGGGGTGGGGGGGAGAGTTGGGGTGCGAAGGAAGCCCCGACCTTGGCTGGGGCCTGCGCCCGTCCGGGCAGAGGCGGCCCCGGCACCGTCACCCTCGGGGTCTCGCACTGTTGGGGGCACTCCTTGGCTGGTCGCACCGCGCCCGGGTCCCTGGTGGGACCGTCCCCCCCTTGCGCCCCCGTGACCCGCGTGTCCTCCCCACCCCCCCCCCCCCCCCCCCCCCCGCCGCGATGGTCTCGGCGCCTTCGGAGCGTCAGCCCGTCCCTGACACGTCCTCCCCGCGAGCCGGGTTCCGAGCTGGCGGCGCCTCCTCCCAGGTTCGTGGTCCTCCCTCGTCCACCCAGGGGTGCTGTTCCTTCGGTTCTATGTCTGTCACTTGCCTCCTCCGTCTTCTCGGGGGGTGTGACGTCGAAATTGGGAATTTAAAAAGGCCTATTGTTACAGGAGGGGGGGGACCGCAAAGCCCCCAAAATATCCGCTCTAGAAAGGGTCCGCCATCTGCTGCATCCAGAAAAAGCATAAAAAGGGGCTTCCCCGGTGGCGCAGCAGCGGAGCGCTGGGTTGGGAAGCTGCCCGCAGCCTTATAACGCTGGTTTGATCCCCAGCTGCTCCCGGCCACCGGAGAAGGGTCCCACATGGCGCGCAGACCTCTCCTGCCGCCCGCTGCTCCCCTCAGCAGTGTACTTCGGTCTTTCTGCCTGCTCTGCTCCCTGTTCTGGCTCTGGTGAATTCTCTCACCCTCCCATACTTCTGAGTGTACCTAATGCTTATATAAAAAAATAAATAAATCGTTAAAAAAAAAAAAAGAAAGACAAAGCATACATTTAAAAAGATCTGGCCAAGCATCTTGAGGAAGGGATGGTTGCTGGAGCCCCGCGGGCAGGAGGGGAGCGGCTGAGCCCTTTACCTTGGGACCAGGGCTGCTGCCCCTCTGGTGGCCCAGGCTGTGGACACGGAAGCAACAGCATTTTGCTGTCCCCAGTCCCTGCGTGCAGAGCCCCTCAAGCCTCTCAGCGCCCCAGTTTCTGCGCGACCCGTCTCCTCGGGCCTAGGGCCTCGCTGTTGATGGAGGAGCAGGTGAGTCCTGGGTGGGGGGCGTGGGAACACCCCCATGCGGCTGCCCGCGGAGAAGGTCCTTGCTGGCCCTGCCGGGGCATTGCAGGTGGGAACCGGGGGGCTTGGCTGGCGTCTTCCCGGGCCCGGAGGACCCTGGTGGTCAGGCTTCATTCCTGAGCTTGACCCTCCGTGTCCTGCCTTTGCGGACAGGTCTCCCGGTGTGTCGTGCCAAGTGGGTTCACCTGGGGTGGGTGCACCGGGCCTGTCATCCCCACCCATGTGTTCATCTCAGGGACTCGCCTCTGGGGTTGGGGACCGCGGGGTGACATAGTCCAACGCTGTCGCCCCCCCCTTCCTGTCTGACTGGCAGGGGAGCACCCCGCCCCACCCTTTTCTGAATGGCTGCCCTGAAGGAAGGGGAGCTGGTCTCTCTACCCCACCGTGTGCCCTGGGGGCAGTTGATGAGGATCTAATCCGGGCTCCCAGCCTCTGCCCTCCAGAGAGGATCTTCAGGAAGGGAGACCACAGGGCCTCCCTGGGGAG